GTTTTTGTTTTTTGGCTAAACACCTTTTATATCAAATTAAAAACACACGTCTGTGAATTTTACTTTTTACAAGTTTATTAAAGGCATAAAATGTAAATTTTCAGTTTTCAAGGACTCTCAAGCTAATATATGGTATCAACCAAACTTTGGTGGCCATTTTCTCGCTAAATTTTACTTCTGAAACCAGGTGAACCCACCCCTTTCAATCACATATATCTCGATTTTTATTCAAGATAGATCGGAAAGCCCCTATAATTTTTCAACGACAGCAAGATAAATGAACAAGCTGTAAGTCGATATTATAATACCTTCATATGCTCAAAAATTGACGAGCACCTGATTCCACTGCATTGTGACCAAATGACTCAGGTGATTTTTTGTTCTTTTGAGAAAACTTAATTAAAAGAAGTGCATAAGTGAGTCAACCTTATGACATGATCAAAAGTGAAAGTGTCTCAATAATAACAATAATAATAATAGCAATAATACATGAAACAAAAGTCCATTACATTGTAGATACAACACATAACACAAGTAACAGGCATTTTTATCCTACTAATAATTAATATAGTCCTGGAGAAAATTACAGAGGCCATCGTGCTATGACCGTGTCTATGTACGTCTACTCTCAGCACCGACCAGGCATCAGGGGCACTTGAGGGAGCAGGAGATGAGGGGGAGGGATTACAAACGACTAGTATCCTGTCCCAGACGTGTCATAGTATCATCGTTCCTGTTGCACATAGGTTCGATTTCTTTCCATTCCCACTATAGTATGTCTGTAGTGTTTCTTACTTTTTAATTCCTAACACAAAATGAACATTGTAATGTGAGTACATTGTTATGTGAGTGTATTTTCTCTTCACTTAAACTTTCCTACTTCTAAATCTGGACACAGGAATTCATAAACCCATTTTAACATCCTATCCAACAGTATTCAAGAGTAAAATTACTTCAAACCTCAATGTCTCCACTCTTAACTTGAGAGCAAAGTTGTTACGTTTTCTGGTTACTATTAAAAGAACCAGACAACAAATTCTTCAAAAAATAAATCTGACTAACAAACAAAAGATATTTGTTTCCACTACATCACAACCACTAAACTACACAGATTAATGTCATGGGCACACTAATTTGGACAAAAATGTTATATGTATACGCTTTTGCAAAAAAATTTAGCAGATATATTTGATCTTCACTGAACACTGAGCCTTTGTGCACGGCCATTTAGCTCATTGCTGGAAACAAATCTACCATAGCTTGAACCACATGTGTTCAAATACAGAGGTGCCAACTGGCTATGTACAAAAATCCAGAACTTTTCTGGCCATGTGAACACACATCCATGGGTACTCAAAACTTACTGATCATAATGCTGTTTCATAAATCTTGCATCAAGACTATTTTTAAGGACCTAGTCAGCTCAAAGTCCGACAAAATGAGGACAGTTTCAGAAACCTGACACCTCTGCAAATAATGCACACCCACCCGTATGCACCTGTGATCTGCACAAGGTCAGATCCGCCCACACTCAGCACTTCCTGTATTTTAATGAGAACACTTATCGGAAGAACAAGGATGAAAACCTCCCTGAGAATTTTAACCTTTGACCCCAGTCAATGGCAAGCCTTTAAAAAGCATGACATTGATATCTTTATTTTTTATGCTGTCTAGGTCTATGTTTCATGCATTTCTAATTGCTGGCACTATAATACTGATCAGAATGCTGGAAGTTATATGATATGATGCTTTTAAAAAAAGGAAGTGAGATATCTGATACATTACTATATATATATATCAGTGACAACACTAGAGGAAGACGCACAAACCAAGGTCATTTCTAGGATATTTCTCAGAGACATCTGTAAGATTTCACGTATATTTTGGTAGATATAATTATGTCAGAATCACACGGCAAGCAAAGTTCTTGGCAATAGATTAAAAGCAGATCTGAGTTCTAATAACAAACCGTGAACAACTTCACATACAAAACAATGTCATTAAATAATAGGAATGTCTACCTCCTTGGCCACAGAACAAAGACAAGCGAAAAGCCAGGAAAATCATCATTAATTTCTTTTTCTTTTCCTCATATGGCATCTAATCTAGGTGACTTAGTGATTAAATATATCATGGATGTAGCATCCACAAGCTGTTAAATTGTTCTAAACACAGAAAACAAACATTTTTCAGAAAACAGAAAGAACTGTTTGATTTTTTAAAGTAATTGGACCCCATTTATGTATCATTTCTTGCTTTGTTCAACACTTAAAATTTGAACTTCAAAAAAATATTTCTGAAGCACATTGGTACCACAGATTAAGAAACGGCTAAGAAACAATGTTTTTGATCAGTTTGGGCTTAAAACATCTAAGCAGCTGGCTTACAATATGTAGAAATAAATTTTAAAACCTCCAAAAGAATGGGATAGTCGATAGTCACACCTTCTAAATTCTGAGAAAAGCAACTTCAATTACAACACAACCCTGTAACACAAACTTTTCATGGGATCAGAGAATTTCTTTGCGTCAAGCAAATTTCATGTTTAGAATGAAATTGCAAAGCATAGAATAAAGAGGGGGGGGGGAGGGAAGGAGAGGGGAATTTGAAGGAGTTTCGTGTTGATTTAATGAACTCATGTATAACAATGTCTAGTGTTCAAATGAACATAAGCTTCCCGTTTCCCAACAGAAAGAATAGTGACCCTCAAAGAATAGCTGGAATTCCTCTACTCAGAACTCTGACTGTTTTATCACAATAGTTTGAGAGAGGAGAAAGATAAAAATATGAAGTACAGATGAACCTGACATGGCGGTCACCTCTTCATTGCAAAAATTGTTCACCAATTGTTTTCACACTATGTGTGTACTTTCAATCAATGCAAAGAAGCTCTTCTGATGGACAAAAATATTGATGAAATGAAATGGTAATATAGAATTAAGATTTCAGATTTCAAACCATCTGTTGACTTTGTCAAATCTAGTAAGTGACAATAACTCAGACCCTGTCCATAGTGGCCAACTATTTATAAGGGTCACTTTTCGCTGTGATCTTGACGGTCCGCTATGATCAGATTCAACTGTAAAACGTACAGGGTATCACTAAAAACATGCAAAACATGACTATGCCTGTTCTGTTATTGCAGTCTACAATTTATTTACACACACTCACATATCAAGAGCTCAGTGTAAGACTTGGTCATACATCACTTTCAAAATGGCCTTTGGCGGAATCAAAGATAGTACATAACAAGATGGTCCATTCAGCCACAAAAGTGTCCGCGTAAGTCCACTAATTGCTTCAGATGGCGCTGCAGTCTTTGTTTTGAAGCTCTCTTTTGTTTCTCCAGAAGAAGAACAGGAATAGCACCCCCTTGCGTGTGAAAATCGACTGCTGTTCATTAGCTGTTCGGATTCATTCAGTGTAGAGTTTTAGGTTTTTTTCATTTTATGACCACTCGCCTCTCATTCTAAAGTCAAATTAAACAAAGAAAACAATCGCCCCTTCCACCGAAAGAGTTTTTTGTCCGCGTAGCCTTTTTTTTAAAAAGTTATTCCGAAATTTGAATTCTAATTTATTAAAAAACTTTTTAGTTTCACTTCGGGTTTTTTCACACAAGTAGGGCAACTCTGTTTGCAAAGTCTGCGCATTTGCAAAGAGGGTGCCACCGTACTTTGAGGACACTTTTTTAATTGGATCAAAGAGAGGAGTGAACCATCTTGTTATGTACAATCCTTGGCGGAATCTTACAGTAAGTAGTCAATATATGCGTATACATACACAACACACTTCCAGACACACATATTAACTTCTGCACATACACCGCCTATGTACAGTTTCCCTAAAATCCCTTGCTAGAGACCGGATACCACAGACAATAAAGATATTCTCTGAGTTATGAAGAATATGTGCATCTACTGACAGGGCAGTTTAAAAGCATATAGAGAAAACAATTTATTTCAAAAAAATGTTTCTTCCTCTCTGAAGATGCTTTATACACACTAAATCCCGGCTCCTGAAACAAAAAAATGAATCCTCCTCAAACACTAAAACTTCTGCTCAGTGTAACACAAAAAGAGCTTGTTTCTTTTCCAAAGACATGGAACGTCTTGGCAACACTGATGTCAAGTGTGTTTCACAGCAAACTTACACATAGTTACACTGTTTATATTAATTTAACTTACAATATATAACAATCGGATACAGAATTGTTAACAGGATATAGTACACGTCACTAAATAAATACAACATTGTGCACCAAAGGTTGCAAGAGGCAGTTCTCACAAGAATCATTCTAATCCAGACACTTGCTACATATTAATTGGTACATCAACAAAACTGCAAGAAATCACAAAAACTTGAACTCACTGAAACTACTGAAGTTAGAGCAAAGCCATGGCATATCACTGCAATAACAAATACAGCTTTCATATCCCCAGTGCTCTGCCCGGAGCCCTTGGAGAGATTGTGGAGGATAATGTAGAATATCAAATCAAATATCAGGTCTTAATTACACAATACGACAATGCTGTATTTTCTCGACACAGAACTGTCATCCATATGTGACAATTACACAGGCCATTTTAACAATAAACACTTTTTGGCTTCATTGTGGATGAATTAACATACGCATTTACTTTCAAGTTGTGGAACCTCGGAAGTAGACGGGAGAAGGAGGGAGAGAGAGAGAGAGAGAGACAGAGACAGAGACAGAGAGACACAGAGAGAGAGAGAGAGAGAGAGAGAGAAAGAGAGAGAGAGAGAGAGAGAGAGAGAAAGAGAGAGCAAAGGAAAGAGAAACAGGGAGGAAGAGATAGAAGGGGAGAGAGAGGGACAAGAGACAGATAGGGAGGGAGAGGGAGAGGGAGAGAAAGAGAAAGAGAGGGTGGGGGAAGAGTTGATGGAGTAGGGGACGGGGGAAGAACACTCAACATACTGCTACTATAATACGGATCAACTCTCTGGAAACACACATTAACAAAAACTTCTTCAAATTTAAGTTTTTTGCTTTTCATAGGGAGCCCTCAATATTTAACATAGCATTTTTCTCTGGGTTTCAGCTCTGTATCCCCCTTGCACTGTAGAACCTTCTTCTATAAGACACAAGCTAGAGATACTCCAATCTGGAAACAATCTTACCACATTATTTAAGGACAAGATGATCCGCATCATCATCATTGCCTATCTCACTCTGCATCCGGGTTTTGGCCATGAACTGTTTGTATTTTTCCTTTTCTTTTAAAAACCTACAGTGGGCAATTTCATTCAGGCTCAGTGGCAGGTAGTTACATGTAACAGAATGCATTTAATACCCCGTTAACACTGTTGGGTGATTCAGGAAACAGAACCTTCAAATTCGATGACATCTTTGATAGCACTGAACAAAGTGAAGAGTCTTGAAAAACTCCCCATGGAACCCAATTTCAAGACATTTTCTTCACGTTTTCACAGTGCTGTCTCTTCTCAGAAGACGTTGTTAAAAAATGTCCACGCTAAAAACAGCTATGCTCAAACCACCTTACAACCCCTCTTTGTTCATTCAAGCAGACTGCTTCCAAAATATGTGTTTGTATGTAGAGTTTACATAGTTTGTCAGGCCTTCCTCTCAGTCATTTTCCTTGCGGTCCATCTCCCAGGGTTACTGTAAGCTGGTGTTTCTGTCTCAGTCTCTGCATACACACACACAAGAACTAAGTAGCACCTCAGATGAAGGGCAGTGTTCCATTCCATTTGATATCTGCCCCATACCACCTGTGGGGTGAGAGAAGGTGGTTGGGGGGGAGGGGGGGAGTAGAGAAAGACATAGTCATATATTGTGTTTTTGTAACATTTTCAAGGCACTTGCAGCACAATCATGTCATATAAATTATGCCTGAGATTGAGGGTTTTACAAGAGAGTAACAAACACAAGAAAGAAAAGTGGGAGATAAGGACGATAGACTTTCGATAGGAAAGAAGGAGCAAACCACATCAGAGTACCCATCCACAAATAACGTCAGAGAAATGGGGAAGGTGGAGAAAGCAAACAAACAAAACATTTCAAAAAGTTTTTCAAAATAGAGCCAATCCATTCTGTCACAAAGTCCTTTACAATAGTACGTATAATACATTTTTTGTACCCTACTTAAAGGGAATATGTGTTTACATTGCATATTAATGTATTTGTGTCGACACGATGTTACATATTATTTATGTTACATATATTTTGTGTCATAAAAGCTGGGGAAACCAGACAGTCAGTTTCTTCTCATGGGGTGGGGCCTACCAATAAAGCATGTATAGTACAGTCCACTTAAATTGCACCTGTCTTTGTTTCAGTAGAGGTTTTACGGCACTCGCAACTGCATTAGGGGTGGATGTCAACAGAGAAGTCCTTACAAGGAATCAGACTTACCCTGCTCACCTCTCTAGCTTCAACAGCACAAAGTTTGCTTTGACTATCAAGGCATCCCGGAAATAGTGGGTCACAAGAATGTGACAAACAGACTAAAGAAGTAGAGGAAAATGACAATAGTAAGGATTAGGAAAGAAAAAGCAGCAGTTCCTTGTTGCAGTTCAGGCACAGTTATGAGTATGACATCGATGAATCAGCCCAATTACAATTCTACTATGTATAAGAAAAGGTTAATGTCCAGCACATGTTTAATCCGAAAACAGACATAAATCAAGAGAAAATAATATCCTCCTTTTTTTTCCTTCTGTTTGACAAATTCTCTAAAACCAAAACCCGGCTAAGCTGAAGACAATTCAGAGGTCCCACTGATTTCTTATGAAGGAGATAAGATGAATTTACTAAGGAAAAAAAAGTGTTTCATACATGACACCAGACCAGAAAACAACCTACTTTGTCATAATGCACTGTTCTAAAGGTGGTATCTTGTTTTCTGCTTCCTTCCTTGCTAGTCCAGTCTTTGGTCGTGGGCGGCCGATCCTTGTCTCTGATTGAATAAAAGAAATTATTTGTAGGATATTTCATAAAGAAGATGAGTTCTTATAGAATGACTCAAAGGGACTTTAAAATAAACGATTATTTCTCCATCCATCAATTTGTCTTTTCATCCATCTGTCTATACTATTCATTAACCCCACCATCGATTTATTCACCCGTCCACTCACCTACCCATCTATCTACCCAGCAATGCATTTCATCCATCCATCCATCTATCCACCAATCCATTGCTCTATGCATCCATCCACCCACCCACCCATGCATACATCCACCCAACCAGCCATCCATTCATTTATCTCTCTCTCCATCCGTCCATTCATCTATCCATCCATCCATCCATCCATCCATCCATCCATC